TAATCAATCAAACAAAATACCCCTCTCTTCGGGGGTGTCCTCGGCGTCGAGGGGAAATAAGAATGTATATTTAGTACAAAAAATTACATATCCTAATATTATTTTGTCCATTGTATTAAAATATATTAATACAAGTCTCACTAACTTATGGTTTAATTATATATCTTTGTTTAAATTTTCAAAATAACTTATGTACCACATTCATTTTATCACCAAATATATGACACACTTATATACACGTATTTCGGATACATGAGAATCAAATTAGGTGTAATTTATGCAGACACGCATGAGTAGAGGTGCACATGCAAGCGAATAAAAAAGTAGTTTTTCTTTACAAGCACCCACAACAAGCATGTCCATGTATCGAATAGCCGAAATACATTATATCCAAGGGGTACAATGTTTCGTATGTATCTAAGATTCACTCGAGCTTCATTAAAAAATCAGTGTGTGAAGCTACCATGTGTTGGATTATGACTGAACGTCAATTTGAGCGAGAAGGGATGCACGTTATCCGCTTGCTGACCTGCAATAGGGGCCTATTCAAACAGTTTGTACGTCAGTATCGCAGCGGGCCTCCACTAGAGTTTCCTCTCGCTTCGTCGAATCATTCGATAAGAACTATGTGTGGCATGTACAAAGGGCAAGGACGTAGTCGAAGCAAGCTGGAAACTTTCTTGTTCACCATTATCTTCTCTCTTGCCTGTCGATTATTCAGTTTGTACTATTGTACGTGACGTGGTGAACTAAGAATAAGAGATTATTTTGAAATTTTTTTCTTTAAAACTACAAATTTAAAGACATTTTGATATATTGTACATGTTTTTATTTTAATTATTTTTTCTTTTAACTTTTTAAATTTAGGGTGTTGAAACTCAAAACAAAATAAGAAGTATTAAGCCCCTGAAGGCTACAACATAAGCTCGATAATTCAAAAGAAGTGGAGCCAAGTTCACAAAGCCTTGAATTTTTGTAAATTGGCCCTAAATGATGAGCTTAGTTCCATTATCTTCCTCTTTCTTGATCTAGGCAAGTAATTTATTTCTGCATATTCCTGAAGTGTTGTCCACGCACAGCAGCTGTTTGATATTTTGTTCGCATGAAATTTTGACTGCACACCAACTATTTGATATTTTTATCACATGAAGTTTTGACTCCTACTCTGCTAAAGTCCCTTAACTTCTTGTTGGTTGTTGTCTACCTGTAAGTTTATATGTACTTAAATCGATTTCACAAGATAAACAGCACATTTTATTATGTATCTCTGCATATTCGCCGTTTCTTGGTAACCCAAAATGTGAACAAGGTAGCTTTGTACTTCCACAGAGCGAGGCTTATCGATTCAATAAGACTCGCTCTTCGATCTAATTCTTCAGATAATCTTGTCACCTATCTCGAGAATCCTTCTTTGGACTCTTTTGTAGTCACTAAGGCACTTCAATCAGCTCCTTCTCCTGAATCAGCTCTCCATTTGATTGAATGTCTTAAAAAGATTCCACATTTCTCGCATACCCATAACACCCTTTATGCGTTAGCCAAGATTCTTGCTAAGGCGCGGGAGACTGCTAAACTCCAAGCACTTATCAATGCCATTAACTCGGGAAAGTTCATCAATGCGGCACGTGTTAGTTACATGGATCAGATGCGATGGTATGCCATTAGTAGAGAGTTTAACGATGTTGTCCGTGTGTGGGACGAGTGGAGGACAACCCTTCAAAAGCATCCATGTACTGAGTCTTACAACATTGTAATGGGATTATACGTTCAGGTGGGTAAGGATAGTGATGCTGTGAGGTTATTCCGTAGGATGATTGAAGAAGGGGCACTTCCTAATTGTAGGACATACACTATTATGATTGAGCATCTTGTTAAAACTAGGAACTTGGATTCAGCCATTGAGCTTTTCCATATGTTGCCTCATGTTAGGATCAAACGTACATTAAAGCAGTATTCTGTACTAGTGGAAGCATTTACTATTGCCAATCAGCTAGATGTTGTCAAAGTCTTGCTTGATCAGATGAGGAGTGATGGAATATTGCCTGTACGAGCTATGCTTTGGTCACTGCAGCAGATGCAGAGTGCTGGTTATGATGCTGAGACGAATGAATTGCTAAGGGACATGTTACCGGATGGGAGGATTAAGATGATTGGTTACTCTAAGGACAGTAGTGAAGACGACAGTGATGACGAAGATGAAGAGATTGATGGTAACAATACTAATGCTGTGGATCAACCTCACCTGAAACCATGGTTGGATCCAGCTTCTTTAGCTAATGCTTTGCAGAACTGGGGTGCTGAGGAGGTGACAGCACTGGAGGATGCAAATTTAGTTTGGACGACTAGGTTGGTGTGCAAGATGATCAGGAGCTTCAAGTCAGCAGAAACAGCTTGGCAGTTCTTCTACTGGGTTTCTTGTCAGCCAGGATTCATTCATGATATATACACAATTTCAAGAATGATAACCAAATTAGCTCGCCAAGGATGTGTCGACTTGGTTGATCAACTTTTGTCTAAGGTTGAAAGAGAGGGCATTCGATTGTCATTCAGCACGATACGGTTAATTATTGATTTTTATGGGGTTTCTCGTTATGGTGACCCCGCCCTTAGGGTTTTCAAAAGCATTAAAACGATCTGTGGTCCAGTATCTAAAAGCAGTCAGTTGCTTCTGTACTCATCTCTGCTTAGGACATTGATAAAATGTAAAATGAATTCGGACGCCTTAGATATTCTTGATGAAATGAGTTTACTAGGAATTGTTCCAGATTCACAAACATATTCTGGACTAATGAACCATTTTGCTCTTCATGGAGATATAAAAACTGTACAGAGGCTTTTTGGGATGGCCAGGCAGAGCGGTATAGAGCCTGATGCTTATATGTATAAAGTTCTCATACATGCTTATTGCAAATGTGAAAGAGCTGCTCTTGCACTCAGGGTTTTTGAAGACATGGGGAACTCTGGGTTGTTGCCTGATGCTCATACCAAACAATTGCTTGTCAAGAGTCTCTGGAAAGAAGGCAAGCTCCTAGAAGCTGCTTCTGTAGAAGAGAGAACTGAGGAAATAAGTGATGCTCTTCCCCTTGCTTCACCTGGACATATGTTTACAGTGAGCTCTACTGATCTTTCAAGAATCTGTAACATTTATTCCAATAGTTTCCAGTCAACTTGTAGTTGAAAGACTATGTCATTGATTGGGTTATAGAGCTGTAATGCTTTTCCAGTTCCAACAGTGTGATAAAGAATACATCCGAGAAAGAGACTTACTGCAAACGGCCTCCTCCATACATCAGGTCAACATCGTCAACTTTAAGAGTCTGTAACATTTATTACAATAATTTCCAGTCAACTTGTAGTTGAAGGACTTTGTCACTGATCAGGATATCGAGCTGTAATGCTTTTCCAGTTCCAACAGTGTATGGCCGTTCCAACAGTGTAATGCTTTTCCAGTTCCAACAGTGTATGATCAGGATATCGAGAAAGAGACTTACTGCAAATTAGCAAATGGCCGCCTCCATATTTCAGGTCAACATCATCAACTTAACTCTCATCAAGGAGGTCTGGTTACATGTCCATAGCATTTTGATTATGTTGATCAGAAATGGAAGTGTTCATCTTTGTAATATTGTTGCTTAAAATTGCAAATGAGTAACTGACTTTTACTTGGCATCGGAGTAAATGTCGTAGTTGTCAGCAATGCAGCTGTTTTACTGATATGAGGTGGTGGTATCTGTGCACTTTGTAAACAAGATATACTCATGATTTATGTTTTGTGGGAGGGTGGGACTGGTGCTTGTTCACCTGCTCATGATTTTTGCTTGTTCATCCCAGGACCAATGTCCACACATGATTGGATGTTCAATTTTCTGCCTCTTAAGACTTAAAACTAAAGTTTTTGCAATGTGATCAAGGTTTTTCTTAGGCTTTGACTTAATTTCCACATAAGATAGGTTTTCAGAAATCCTTAAAATTGTTATCATGGAAAAACTAAGCAACTCTGTTTGTTTCAGTTGTAAGGAGAGCACTTCACTTGGTCTTGAAAGAGAATAAAACTAGCAACACCGAGGGTGTGTTTGGTTTGACAGATTCATTTTCCTGGATAGGTTTCTGATGTTGGGTGGAGAGAGGAAAATATTTTCTGATTTGTTAAAATAAAATATTCATAATTATATTAGCATAATGAAATTGTTTTGATTATATTTTTGAACATTGAAGATTGATAAATAACATTTAAATGTTTGTTAAATCAATGATATGAAGTTTCATAGTTGAGATAATTGCGAAGGTGAGGGTAGTCATTTTCCTTCTCAAGTGAAAAATGTTCTCCTTGGAAAATATTTTCTGGTCATCAGACCCTAGAAGATGACTTATTTCTGGAATTTATCCCCTGAAAAATGTTGTTCTGCATGCCCAAGTTTGCCAGGATTGTCTCTATGAAACTGACAATTGTTATTTTTTCCTAATTTATTAGGTCTCTTTCTCCTAAGATAAGAGAGTGACATAAGCTCGCTTGCATGTGTTAAACATATAACATTGACAATCACCTCTGAGAATTCACCGGTATCTCTACTTTTTTATTCTCTGCTGTTTACTTTATGAATTTTTGTAGGAAGAAGGAATCCATGCCGTCTAGATTTGGTTCTAGTATTAATCTATTTGCTGGAGCTTCCCTAGGAAAGAACTGAAAGGGAATGTCATAGTCAAGAGAAAGTAAGGATTATATATACAAATGATTTCCTTTTGCTTATTGAGAATATTTTATAAAGCATTGTTGCATAAAGACAGAGACAGCTGCTTATATTATTTAGAGTAGGCAGAGAAAACAAGAGGGTATCTCACAGACAAAGCTACAGACAAGACCTCCTAGATATTCTTTTTTTCCTATCCTTCCAAACTTTTAGAATTTTTGTAGCTTTCACATTAAATTCCTAAATTTACTCTTGCTCATGCTAACAGATATAACTTACTAGCTGTTGTCTTGTTATCTAAGCTTTGCATCGATGGTAGTTCCTCTTGTGTCCTTGTTTTACAACTTTTTCCTCTTTCTCATACTTTCGTCCTCCAACGTAACTGCTCAACCATCTAGCACAGATACAGACTTTTCATGTTCGTTTAACTCTTCCTTTTCTTGTGATACTTTTATTTCATATCGTGCCCGTCCACCAAATCATTTAGATGTCGGAAGTATCTCTGATCTTCTTGAAGTCAGTCGTTTAAGTGTAGCTACGGCCACAGGTCTAGCCTCAGAGGATACTGAGCTATTCCCTGACCAGCTTTTACTCGTACCTGTTAAATGCTACTGCAATAGTTCTCATTATTTCTCCAATGTCACCTATCAGATCAGAAAAGGTGACAGCTTTTATTCAGTTTCAATAAGAGCATTTGAGAACCTTACTAATTATCATGTGGTGCAAGATATGAATCCAACACTAGATCCAACCAACTTGACAATTGGAGCAGAAGCTGTTTTTCCTTTGTTTTGTAAATGCCCCACACATTCTGATCTCGAAAAGGGACTTCAGTACCTGGTCACTTATGTTTGGCAGCCTTGGGATGACGTGTTGCCTGTAAGCAATATGTTTGGAGCATCTGCAGCTGACATTCTGGCTGCCAACAATTACAGAAATTTCACTGCTGCAATATGTTCTCCTGTCTTAATACCAGTAAAACTTCCTATAATTCTGCAATCTTACCCCTCTTCTGCAAGCAGTAGAAAATCCAAGCATGGATGGATAGTGATTACTGTTTTAGGTATTATGGGGTTGCTTGCAGTTTTTTCATTTTGCTTGATGGTATACATGCGTCATCTAGAAGAGAAGAGGAGGTCTAACTTAGCTCATAACTCTTCTACTCTTGAAACTTCTGATCTCTTTCATACCAAGAAAGCCTCCGAAGGTGAAATTATGGACCATAAGAACATTCAAGATAAGCTTCTTCCTGGAGTTTCTGGCTACATTGGAAAGCCAATAATATATGACCTGAAGATCATCATGGAGGCGACCGTCGACCTCAGTGAGAGATACAGGATAGGAGGATCAGTGTACAAGGCCACAATGAACGATCAAGTTGTAGCTGTCAAGAAAAGAAAACAAGCCTCGGAGGAATTGACAATACTTCAAAAACTACATCACGCAAATCTAGTGAAACTGATGGGCGTTTCATCAGATGATCTTGGGAATTCCTTCTTAGTTTATGAATATGCTGAAAATGGCTCACTGGATGAATGTTTGTTTCCCGGATCATCATCATCTTCTGCTGCCTCTGTCATAGTGACATCACTTGATTGGAGACAAAGATTACACATAGCCTTGGATGTTGCAAATGCTCTGCAATACCTGCATGAACATACTCAACCTAGTATAGTTCACGGGGACATCCAAACCTGTAATATACTTCTTGATTCAAGGTTTAAAGCTAAAATTGCGGGTTTCTCTACAGCCAGACATGCCACCAACTCATTGATGCTGAAAGTTGATGTGTTTGCTTTTGGGATTGTGCTGTTGGAGTTGCTTTCGGGGAAGAAAGCAACGGAATCAAAAGATTATAATGACGAGACTCTGATCATGTGGAAAGAAATTAGTAGAATCTTGGAAGTTGAAGATAACAGAGAGGAGAAGTTTAGAAGGTGGATGGATCCAAAGTTGAGCTTTTACCCTGTTGATGATGCTCTAAACTTGGCTGCCTTGGCGACAGCGTGCACATCGGAGCAATCAGCAGAGAGGCCTAAGATGACAGATATCGTCTTCAACCTCTGTTTTCTTGCTCAATCATCTTTTGAAATGTATGGACCGTCTTGGACTTCAGGTGAAGCTGAGGAGATTGTCCAGATTGTTAGTCCGGTAATAGCACGTTGAGTTAAAAGATGGAGCTTAAATATAGTTCAAGAACTTTTGTCACTTCATCTCAAATTTGTAACATATTCTGGATTGTAAAAGCCACATGAACGATAACTAATCTGATCTCCAGAATATATTGCAAATTTGAGTTACTGTTTCCAGTTTTTCCTTGTATTTTCTCTTGCAGCTAAAGCAGTTGCTATTGTAAATTCTTGTATTTGGATGTTTTTCTCAATTTTGAAATAAATGGAGTGCAATTTGACCTGTATTTGGATGGTTAATTAATTATGTCAATAATTAGAAATATAACAAAGTTATATTTGTAATTTAAAAATAATTTTATATATATATATATATATATTTATATATAATATTGAATTTCTTAAATATACTTTTTAATATAAATCACAATAAAAAATGTAAAACACAATACGAAAAGTATATCAATTATAAATGTCCAAACATAAGAAAATAAACTACATCATAATGAAAATAACTAAACAGGAATAAAAGTGGTTAACTCCAACTTAATTCTAAACACACACACACAAAAAAAAATCCAAATTAAAATTCGATATGATTTGATTTGATTTTTCGATTTAACCCAAATACTGCACACCCTTAATCTTGGTGGTTACGAATTAAATTGAGCATATGTTTCAATAATTAACCATGATTAGATAAAACATGTATGAATGAACTCATATATTTATAATTTATGTATTATACATACTCTAAAATATCAAGTGCTGGTAACCATGCATACACTGGCTTCAAGAATTGCAAAGTTCTATAGTCATGAATAAATAACCCAACGAATTAATTTGACTTACAATATATGTACTTGCAAGGATTGACTAAGTTAGTTGGATGAGTGATTATAATATATGAAAAAATCTGAGATCAAACTCGTTTATTCTTTTATTTATTCATAAAAAAGATTAGTGTCAAAGTAAACATAGATCATTGGATAAAAATTAGTCAAATGAGGTTTTTCTTTTTTTAATTTCCATTTTGATTTTGATCATGATAAAATATGTATGGAGGATGTTTATCATTTGCATAATTTTTCTGTATCGGTGTCGATCGTTATAATTATTTTATTGATTAAATATTTTAATAAATATACAAATATGACATATGAAAAAAGACCTTAAATGTAGTGAATAATATCTTTCAAAGATGTGGCATATAAGAGAAGTTGGACCATTTAATTGCTAGCTTCTCTTTTTAAAATCATTTTATATTCAGAATATTCAAATTTTATTAATTCATATTCAAATTGCATAGAGTCTATTTTGACCTCCACTTTTATTTATGATGGATCATTGACGATAACAAATCCACTCATAGTCAAAAGGTAAAGGGAATATAGAAGACTTAAGTTTCTCTCCTCTTTTGAAAATGGTTACCTCAATTATGGAGTATCGCTACGAGAAATAAAAAAGTTTGTGTCAATTAGTTCTTATGACATATAACTAATCAAATAGTATTAAATATTACGTGATCAATTCATATTGTTATAAAATCATCATTATTCACTTCATTACATTAATAATTAAGTAGAAAAATGTATATATATTGTATCACGATCAAATTAACGTAATCTTAGGCTAAGAAAAAGTGGGAGTAAATTTATTTAATTAATTAGTAGGACCCAAGTGCCACTTAATTGGTCTCCTTTTGTTGTCTTCCTACAATAGAGACTGAGAGATGCGTGTCTTTGCTATGCTACATGTTTTCTCCATGTTGTAAGAAACTCTACCGACACTAAGTTTGAATTACTTATTCGATCGAATTTAATAATTTTAATTACGTATGTATATTAAATATATAATAATTTAAGTTCATAATTCACATATTATTCACAATGAAAATTGTTATTTTAGAATTTAAAATATATATTAATATTTCGTTCCTCCTTCTAGAGTAATTTTAGCGTATGATATGAAACCACGTCAGGATAATCATCTCTTTTTCTTTTTTAGATTATCAATTTCATTTTTATGATGATAAGTGTATAATTTTCTTAGATAAATTAATTTTTTTAACATTGATCAATTGCTCTTATCCTTACTTCGCTGACACATAAGAGAGAGAGCACTTTCCAAGTCAAGAATGAGTGTCAAAGAGAAGATGCGCAAGCTTGTCTATCAGAAGAAGAAAGCGAGGGAGCGAAACTTTAGGTTTCATTAGGATAGACTGAAGCGTATATAGAAAAAAAAGTTTCATTATTTGAAAAAAAAAAAGAGATTAGACAAATTAATTAAAGGTGCTCATCAGATAAACTCATGTTAATAGAAATTAAATCTAAATAGGGCAAATTTTTATGAAAATATAACAGGGTATTAGCTATGTTTGATTTCATGTATTAACAACAGTTATGTCTTTTAACCACACTTATCCATCTATTAATAATTCTTCTTAGTATTACTAATACCACCACTAATACATACATTATTTTCTCTAATATATCTTGCAAAATAATCCTTTAACAAGTAGTAGTGCACAGTAAAAAGTTGGAACTGTATACTCCAATAATATACAAAAAAAAAAACAGCCTTACCTTATACATGAAAACAAAATCTTACTGTACATGTTACACAACACAATCGAGGAGGATCTCCTTATGAACTTAGTACACAGATCTCTACACTCTCTTGTGCTTCAATTTCTACAAATACAAATATACGATACAATTAAAATATTATCAATATATATATATAAGTTAAATTTATAATTAAACCAATCGAGAAATCACAATACCTTTTCAAGATTCAAGAACATAAGGTGTTTGCAACAGATCATAAGGTGCCCAAAGGGCATCTAATGGGCAAGGCCGGCTCGCATCGAGCCGGACCCATGGTTTGCCTTTTCCACTCCAATGCAGTAAACTAACCGGACCAGGGTGCAAATCTCTACAAAGTCCTCGAAAATTATCACCTCCAAGACCATGTTGGTTCCATTTATGATCAACTGGGGCAATATTTCCAGCAAAAACAAGTAAAAAAGGTGGTAATGAACCTAATTCATAAATTCTCATTCTTTTTTGAAGCTCCATCCATTCTACAATCTTTGTAGTATAATCTCCGTTTCTCCATCTTTCCAGATCAATTACCATAACACCTGTGTTGAAATAACAAGGTTTTCGATTCGCGAAAGTCAACGAAAGTGAAGGGTTTGACCAAAAAGTAGGGGTGAAATACGTTGTGAAATTTGCATTGCAATATTCTGGTGCTGCTAGAACTGCTTCTTCACCTAACGGTGTTGCTGCTAGCTTCGTAATGTCATCTACAAGAACAAGATCTGAATCCAGGTACACAACCTATGTGTTTGCATCACCACGTTATTTTGAATGTGAAGTTTAATGATTTCTACGACAATCTCAAATTAAAAAAAGAGTAAAAACAAAGTTTGGAGAAAAGAAAGCGAACCTTTTGGATACATCGAGGAAGGAGATCAGCAAGATAATTGCGAGCATAATTTAGAGGACAATCCAAAGCAGCGCGAATAGAAGTAGATATCAACCCAGCAACAGGTGAATCTCGGAATGGATAGATTGTGAAATGTAGATAAGGAAAAGAAGTAGCTAGTTTGAGATTCAAATAATGAATGTTAGCAGAAGACGAAGCGATGAAGTGAAAAATAACATTTTCAGGGCAAGACGAATGTTGAAGAACAGAAAGAATTGCAGCCATTGAACCTCGAAGATAAGCAGCATCAAGAGTCATGGCTACATTGACTGCATTTTGAAAGCAAATTTCTGTAATAGTTGTGTCGGTGGAGGAGTTGTGAAGAGAAGGACAAGTTGGGGAATTGTAGAATTTTGGGGCTTCTTTGAAATCAAAGTTTTTTGTGTTGATAGCGCCAATATCGTGTGTAGAAAATGAGATCGTCCATAAAAGAGAAATTAAAAGGAGGGGCCTGGAATGGAAACTTTCAAATTTTGGCATTATGGAGGCAGCTATACAATTAAAATTGATGCCACACTAGTTTCCTTATATATAGGAGTATTATATCACAAGTTCGGTTCAAATCTGAATTTACTCGGACTCTGAACACCAGATGAAAAATCTAAAATATATCAGAAGCTCACGCCAGCTACGAAATTTAAAAAATCCTAGCTAATTGCATTAACATAGAATTTTTGTCAAAGATACACTCCTATATAACACCAATCAGTAGCTATTAACATAAAAAATTTATTGTTTACAACCGATAAGATCTTAAACGCAAGTAAGTAAAAGGACCGGAACACTATAATAATGGTTTAATTAGTTAATTAAATACAGTGATGTGATAATGTATTTTAACCGGTGATAACTTGGCAATTATCATTTTCTTTATCAATCTATCATTTTAATAGGACTAATATTGTTTATCATTGAAACTTACGTATAAATTAAATTATAAATAATGTAATCAAGTAAAGTATTTATTATGCATTATGTACATAAAACTTAATAGTCAATAATGAGCTTTGTTTGTTGTAGGTTTAAGACAAAAAAAAATTGAAAAAAATACATGAGAAATTAAAGGCCTTAAAATCTGTAATTATTTTCGATTAAATCCTTAACATTAAAACATATAGTTAAACCACGAGTAGAAATGAAATTATATAGTAAAAAAATAAAATTAGGAGACACGTATTTCTAGCGGATCCCTTTACATGTACTTGTCTTTAGAGATAAGCAAATACTCCTATCAATCTTGTTTTAGCTACCACATCAACGTTCACGGTAGCTGACACAACATCAAAAGTCGAATTCAGAATATGAAATAAAGTAGATAAATTTTGAATTTGAAATTTTATGATAATTTTTTTTGAATTCTCAAAATAATGTAGACGATATAATAGTGGCGGTTCAATGTAATTGGGGGTCTAAAGCGAAATTTTAATTCGCGGTCGAAAATATAAATATATTTCATTTACGTATTTATTTTAAAAAAATTACACTATTAAGATGAAAATTATTAGTACTTAATATATTTTTTTTCAGCTACTAGTTTTAGGTAAG